ACGCCGGATTTGCCGGTGCCTGACCCTGAGGCTGGCACAGCTCCCAGGCCCCGTCTCCGTGGCTCCGCGTGAGGCTCCCGGGAAAGCTGGGCAGATGAAGGGCTCACCCCTTTCCTGTCCACCCAAGCAGAGCTGCTCCTGAGCTCTTTGCAGCCAGGTGATGAATTAATGCCCACTCTGGCACAGCAAGGCTGCAGGAGGAGAAGGGCTGGGAGCCAGCTGGTTTTCCAAGCCCTGTTCTCCTCTCCAGGAGGACGGTGGACCCTGGGATATACCATTTAGGCTGGTACCAGGAAGGTTTGCTTTTATCTGGGGTTGTGAGGACCCCTTGGAAGCAGCACAGGACTCCCCTGCTGTGCAAACCCATCCTGATTCTGACCAACCCCTTCTTCAACTCCCAGCACAAGTCTCCTCTGAGATGACCCTCTATCACATCCATAAATGCATTTAATCCCTTGTCTCTCTGTACATCAAGTGGGTGTCCATGCCATCCCTTGGGACCATCTGCGGGCATGGGCACCATGGTGATGGGACCACCTTCAGCCACAGGGCAGTGACTTCTGGGGACAATATCCAGCCGGCATGGCTCAACACTTCAGCTGCATCCAAGGGGGATAAAACCTCCCAGATCAGGGGCACTCCCCAGCTGTGTGCCAGGGAGAGGACTCTGACTCCTTGGGAGGGTCAGCCCATGCAGGCAGAGGAGCACCACAGGCAAAAACGCTGATGCAGGCAAATGCAGCACGCCATCGGGAGGAAGACTCTGCCCTCCGGACTATTTTTGGTTTGTTTTTGCCAACTCTGGAGCCACTGATCTATGATATTGTCACTGCTGTGACTAAGGGCTCTGCAGTTGGAGTAGCATCAAGCAGGACTTGGAGAGAGGGATGCACGTGGCTCTCGGGGGACCGGTAATGGGAGAGAGCCCTTCACCTCCTGTTTACACTTTAATGCCCATCCAGGTTATCCATTATTTATTGCTAATGTATTTATAGAGCATTTCCAGCACACACGGGGCTCTGCAGCGGCTGGGGAGAGGGTGCCCTCTCCTTTGGTTTGAACAGAGCAGTTAAACACCCCCGGGCTCTGCACCCAGCCCTGAGGCTCCGGAGGGGCCATCCCTCCCCTCCTGCATCCTGCGGCTTTGCCATGAGGCATTTGTTGTTTCCCTCCTGGGCTGGGGTGGCGTTTTCTCCCTTGGGCCCTGGGCACAGCAAAGCCAAGGCTGGCTTTGGGCACCCCAAGCACAAGCAGCAGCCCCTGGCCCTGCCCACCTGCAGCTGCCCTTGCCAGTCTGCAATGTTGAAATGCAAAAGCTCTGACACCATCTGAAAACACCATGCAGCTCAGCCGTGTCCAGTTCCAGCCGGCTCCCTGGATTAGCTCAGGGAATCCATTAGAGGGGCTGCAGCAGTGGCACTGACGGTGCCTGGGCCACCAAAAGGAGCCACCCCATTCCCTGTGACAGATGGGACCTGGCCGGTGCCAGCTGGGACACACGGGAGCTGTGGAGAGGGAAGAGGAGGCGGTGTGGAGCACCCAGCCAGCAGTGGGCCTCTGCCAATCCCAGGGATGAGCTCTTCCTGCAGGGATAACCATGGCCAGCCACAACCCACAGGCACGTCCTGTCCCCATCTGGTTATGTTGGCCCAGCCTGGCCTGGCTTTTATTTCCCACTTTTTATCTGCTGGGGAAGACAATTTCTGCCAGGTCACAGGGAAACAGGCAGGTCCAGCCTGACCTCCAGCCCCAGCACCATCCCTGGAGCAAGACACAAATCCTGGAAATTATTTTCCTGCATTTTCCTGCACCTGGAAACTCTCCCATCTTGGCTTAAAAGCAGATTTTTACTAAACCTTTTCTAATCCCAAGAGGGTATGAGCAAGGGAGGGAAAGAAAGCTCTCGGGACAAGGCAAAACCAGGACTTCAGTGACAAACCTCTGCAAACACAGGTGGAAGAATTTTTTTTTTTAAGTGAAAGAAATGTCATTTCCAACAGTTTTATGTAAGAAACATCAAAAAAAAAATTCCTTATTTCCAGCATTTTTCCAGGCATGCTTCTGCAGGGAAATGAGTAGTTCCAGTGTCACAGATGTGGGTTTTAAAGGGATGCTGCTGCCACCACTGGCTGAGCACAGGTTAATGGCTGGGTTCAAATGCTGCAGTATTGGCAGGGACACCTTCCACTGTCCCAGGCTGCTCCAAGTCCTATTCAACCTGGCCTTGGACATTGCCAGGGATCCAGGAACAGCCACAGCTGCTCTGGGCACCCTGTGCCAGTGGGGAAGACAATTTCTGCCAGGTCACAGGGAAACAGGCAGGTCCAGCCTGACCTCCAGCCCCAGCACCATCCCTGGAGCAAGACACAAATCCTGGAAATTATTTTCCTGCATTTTCCTGCACCTGGAAACTCTCCCATCTTGGCTTAAAAGCAGATTTTTACTAAACCTTTTCTAATCCCAAGAGGGTGTGAGCAAGGGAGGGAAAGAAAGCACTCGGGACAAGGCAAAACCAGGACTTCAGTGACAAACCTCTGCAAACACAGGTGGAAGAATTTTTTTTTTAAGTGAAAGAAATGTCATTTCCAACAGTTTTATGTAAGAAACATAAAAAAAAAAAAAATTCCTTATTTCCAGCATTTTTCCAGGCATGCTTCTGCAGGGAAATGAGTAGTTCCAGTGTCACAGATGTGGGTTTTAAAGGGATGCTGCTGCCACCACTGGCTGAGCACAGGTTAATGGCTGGGTTCAAATGCTGCAGTATTGGCAGGGACACCTTCCACTGTCCCAGGCTGCTCCAAGTCCTCCGGGGCCTCCTCTGGGCTCTCTACAGCAGCTCCAGGTGCTGCTGCTGTGTCCCCAGGGCTGGGGTAGCTCTGCAGGTGGGGTCTCACCTGGGCATAGGAGCACAATCCCCTCCCCTACTGAAATCTGTCAAGTTTTTCACTGTCCAGGTGAAACACCCTCCAGGTCCTTCTCCTCAGGGCTGCTCTCCATCCATTCTCTGCCCAGAGGAGGATGAGGAGACCCTTCAGCCTCAGTCTGCAGCAGCAGGAAACAGAGGGATGAAGAGGGAAGGAATGATGCTCTCTACCACTAGAAGGAGCCAGCCAAAGCATTCACTGCCTTTTTGCTCCAGCCTTCACTAAAAAGCCATCTGCAAACAAGAGCAGCACCAGCAGCAAAAAAACCAGCGTGGGACATGGTGGGAGAGGAACCAGAGCTGTGCTTGCACATCCCCAGGGTGCAAAACCCAAAATAACCTGGGCCACCACTGATGAGGGGGAAAGAGAAGCAATGTCACAGAGCAGGTGGCCTGACAGAGGTTACCAGACATGGCACAAGCAATCAATTCTCCTTGGAAGCATCCAGAAGATAACGAGGCAATGAGTAACGGTCTGTATGGAATTGTAGAACAAATCACATCAGCCTGACCTAATCTCATCCTGAGACACGGCAATGGCAGACGCAATCTCCCGGCCTCTAACCACAGGAAGTCTTCAATGCTGCCTCAAATGCAGAATTATGGTCAGGGGGGATGGTGGAGGAGGCTCTCAAATCGATCCAAGCCCGTCAGGGGTTTGAAGGTCTGTACACAGCGTGTTTGAGGGGCTCCAGGTTCCAGCAGGACAGCCAGGAAGGAGTAACACCAAGCTGGTGGTGGGTGCCGGGGCCTCGGGAACTGCTGCACACACGGGGCACTGCCAGTGAGCCCCCAAAGGCTCACAGCTCTGCTGAGCTGCATGCTGCGGCTGCACCACCCCAACCAGCCCTGGGCAAGCCCAGGGTGTCTGCAGCAGGCAAGGAAGCCACCGTGGTGCCACCAGGCAAGAGCCCCCATGTCCCCAAAGTCATCCTGCCGCAGAACGGTTCCTGGAACACCCTTCCCCTCCAAACCTTGGAGCATCTCTGCCTTTCAAAGTCAAAGGGGTCAGCTGCAGAGAGCCTCATGCTCTCCCACAACCTCTAGCGTCACTCAGCCGCCGTGTTTTATGGCTTTTGGACCGGGAGGGAAGGTGCCTGCCTTTTCCCATGGCAGCTCCTTGTCCGAGGAGCCTGGAGAAGGACTGAGAGGTGCCGGGATCTTCGCAGCCCGGCTGGTGAGACTCGCCAGGACCTGGTTCACCTGGCCTGACCTCACCCACCCGCTGCCTCCTGCTATCAATTCTTTATATATAGCAATTAAATGTGATAAATGGGCTGCAAAGTGCTATTTTGGGAGAGAGGAGGCTCCATCTGGGAGTGCTGCAGTGCTGGCTCAGCACGACCCACTGCACACCTGGCTCTCCCCACTCATCCGCCGTGGATGCTGCCCCACACCTCAGTATGTGATGGCACACAGTTATCTGGCATGTTCCCAGCTCTGTTTCTCTCCCTGACCTTTCCACGAGCTTCCCTGATTTCTCTGGCCGCTGTTAGACTCTGCCACTTTAAATACAGAGTTTGCCCAATTTCTGGGGGTGCAGCACAGGGTGGTCAGCAGCAGCTCAAGCCACCCAGTCATAGCAGCATCCACAATTCACCTGGTCCCTGTAAAATTCAGGAGAGCTTCTGAGGAAAGGAACCCAAATAAGAGGGGGAAAGATCAGGATGAGAGATAAGGACAGGGAGGAGGAGAAAAATCAAGATCCACGCAACCCCCATCCCTGGAAGTGCCCAAGGCCAGGCTGGATGGGGCTTGGAGCAACCTGGCATAGTGGAAGGTGTCCCTGCCACGGCAGGGGGTGGCACTGGATGCACTTCAAGGTCCCTTCCAACCCAAACCATTCTGGGACTCTGTGTGCCCAGGATGAGGTTTATTTAATATGACCCCAGCTCAGGTCCATGGAGGTATTTAGGCACTGAAGGGGATCCAACTGCTGCTGCATCTGGCTCTGAACACAGCGCTCCCAGTCCCTGGATGTGCATCGCTCCAGCATCCCGTGCCCGCCCCAACACCACCCTCCGTGCTCGGGGGCTTGTGGTCCCCGCAGTGCCCCCCAGCCCTGGGCAGCCCCGGGATGCCGGTGGGGACCAAGCAGGCTTGGAAGCAGGGGGAGATAAGCGGGCAATGCCCAGGGATGCTGCGGGGTGTCCGGCTTGTGGGGAAGGTCGGGGAATGGGGACGGCGGCTGGAAGGGGAGTAGGACAGCCCCTAGATCCTCCCCGGCTGGAGGCGAGCTGAGACACCCCTCCAGCTCCTCCCTGGAATGGAAGGGATGGGAGGTAATTCCCCGAATCCGCCCTGGGGTGGAAAGCCCCCGTGACAGCCCCCATTCCCTCCCCAGGGCTGGGGGGCACCCCGCAGCAGCCCCCAACGCCCACCTTGCTGGGAAGGGACCGGGACAGCCTCCAAATCCTCCCCGGGCTTGGCGGGGACCGCGGCATCTCCTAATCCCTCCTCGGGTAGCAGGGGGGCCGCGGCAGCCCCGTCCAGCCCCCAGGAGCCGGCAGCGGCGGGGGCTCGGTGGGTTCGGTGCCGATCCCGGCTCAGCCCAGCCCGGCTCAGCTCCCCCCGACGGCCGCCGCCCGCGGCGCTCCCCAGCCCATCGCGCAGCGCCGGGCAGCTCCAACCTGTCCCCTTCTCTTCTTCCTCCTCCTCCTTCTCCTCCTCCTCGCTCTCCACCCCTTCCACCCCCCCGGCCCGATTTGGGCAGCGGCGCGCCCGGCGCTGCCGGCAGAGCCGCCGTGTGCGGGCGCGGCGCCGGAGGCAGCTCGGCCCCGGGGGGGCTGCGGCGAGGCAGGAGCGACCCCCCCGAGCCCCCGGCCCGGCCGCCTGCCCCTCCGCCTGCTACTGCGTGGCCACCCCGGAGCTGGTGCAGTGCCGCTACGAGAGGCTGGAGGAGCCCCCGAGGGAGCTGCCGGCCGCCGTCCAGAACCTCAGCATCGCCGGCAGCAACCTGAGCGTCCTGTCCCGCGCCGCCTTCGCCGCCCGCCCGCTGCGCGACCTCCGCCTGCTCCGCCTGCGCCACGACAACATCCACACCATCGAGGACATGGCCCTGCAGGGCCTGCCCGCCCTGCGCACCCTCGACCTGAGCCACAACCCGCTGCTCTCGGTGGCCGCCGGCGCCTTCGCCGGGGTGCCGCTGCTGCGCACGCTGCAGCTGAACCAGGCGCTGCTGGCGGCCCCGCTCGAGGAGCAGCTCGCCCTGGCCATGCGCAACCTCAGCCTGCGGCGCCTGGAGCTGGCGGGCAACGCGCTGCAGGCGCTGCCGGCCGCCCTGCTGCCGCCCGGCCTGGAGGAGCTGGACCTGCGCAACAACTCGCTGCAGCGGCTGGCGGCCGCCGAGCTGCGCAGCCTGGACGCGCCGGAGCTGCGGGGGCTGCGCCTCAGCCTGGGCTCCAACCCGCTGAGCTGCGACTGCGGCCTGCGGCCCTTCCTGGCCTGGCTGCGCGCCGCCGCCGCCCGCGTGCTCGACGCGCGGAGCCTGCGCTGCGCGGGGCCGCCG